GCCCCGTCACCATCCTCTACTCCCATTCCCCTCATGCCCCTGTGCCCTCACATGCCTTGCTCCATCCCCACCTTCCTCACGCCCACCCCTCCTTTCAAGCCTTCTCCCAGCACCTTCCCCTCCCCCCTCTAGCCCCCAATGCCCTTACCCTGTCCCCCCTCCCACTACCCCTTCCCTCCTGCCCTTTTCCTCATTGTCTGCACTTGGCCCCCTGGCATTTCTCTCTCCTGCACCCCCTGTCCCTTCGTGACTTCCCCTTTCTTCTTCTCCTGACCCTCTCCCCTCCTCTACCTGGCTTCTGCCTTCCATTTTGCGGGGTTGCCGGAGCCTTTTTGAATCCAGCGGTCGCCAGCCGTGATGTCAGGATGCCACGTCACGCCAGCATCCTGGCATCTGCCGGCATCCCGCCCTCTTGCTCGTGCCCCACCTCCTCACGCCGGAGCTGCACGCAAGCAGCCCGACGCTGAGAATCACTGCACTTCCCCCTTCCCGGCAGTGCTCTGCTTCTCCACCAGCCGGCAGATCGGATGGGGCTGTGCCACCTGTAGTGCGGGCTTCGGCCAGCCATCACAACGGCCCACCGGGCCAGTCCGCCCCTGCACTTGCTAGCTGGTACACTCACCTGCGGCGAGTAGATTTTATTTGTCAAGCCCTGTTGATAGCTTACATAATCTGTTTTAAGTGTTGTAAAATACTTCATTAACTTAACAACGAATAGAAATAAACTGAAAACTTATTACGTGTTCATCTGATCATGTTATGCCAAACGAAATAACTTTTTTTGCATTTCTTTTCCCAGTGGTCATTTGCTACTGGTCCTTTAAAAATCTCTCTTTTTTTTATATAGCTATGTTGCATTAAATAGGCTTGTTTAAGGCCGAGATTGTATGAGGTTCACTTGACGAGTCAGAGAGGTGCATAAGTACCTTTTGAAGACTAATTGAAACAGTAGCAATCTGAAAAATATTAAGTAGCTGAAATTCCTTAAAAATGACTGCTTTTCTGCTTCCTTTACAGGGCAGTAGCCTAAACTCTTTCTATGACCAAAGGGAGTACATTGGACGCAGCGTTTACTATTGGAGAAAAGTTTTGCCTATTCTGGAAATCATCAAAAAGAAGAAAAGTGTTCCTGAACCTATTGATCCTTTGTTCAAACACTTCCATAGTGCAGATATACAGGTACGAACATAAGCTGGATAAGATTGAAGGGCTGAAAGTTACCTGAAGCTTGCTCTATTGTGGAGCTATGTTGTATTGGTTCACTGGCAGTTTGGAAAAATCTTGGTTTTTTGCATTGATACATAACCTTTTTTAATGAACAAAGTTGGAAGAGACTTCAATTTGGAACCATCAAAATATTTTGTTTTTGAATTTTGGACACCTGCCTTTTGAAATAAAATTAAATAACATTTGGGGCTAGAGTCACAAAACAAATAGTGGTGGCCCCATTTACCCAATAGCCTAAAAGAGTACTTACATGGGATCTGGAATCACTGCCCCAGACTAAGGATTGGAACCCAGATGTTTTCCCTGCTGGGTGAGCCTCCTGCCAGGCTATAGAGACCTTCTCAGAGTTTCTTTGGCTTAAGTATAAATCAGTTTTTATAAGTAGAACAGCTCCATCAAGGATCTGGGTCTACCCATACCTTAGGTTAGTGCCCTGACCACTGAACTGTGGAGTAAAAGGGGTTTTGTGACTCTTCCAAAACTGTGTAGCTGTAGCTTTGTTGGTCCCAGGATATTAGAGAGTGAGAGTGAGGTAATATTTTTTTAGACCAAGTTCTATTGGGAGAAGATACAAGCTTTTTGAGTTTCTACCCAGAGTTCTCCTTCAAAACCTGTGTAAGCTCGAAAGCTTGTCTCTCCCACCAATAGAACCTGATATTGCCTCACCCACATCTAAAACTGTTTGACAGAATCTTCTGAAACAGACACACATTCGCAATGTTTTTGTCAACTTAAATCTGCATTTTTTCAGCTAAACAATGTTTTGGGTGGGAAAAAAAGAACCAGCTTTACTTTAGTGCTTCAGATAAGTTAAGAATTGTGATTTCTAGTGGGGTTTTGTGCATTTCAATAATTTGGTTGCTGTCCTCACTACTTAACAGCTTTAATAACCTTGCCAGAAATTCTTCCTCATGCCTAATTTAACCTAGATCTAATACAGGGGTTCTCAAACTTCACTACACACTGATGCCCTTCTTACAATAAAATTACTACATGACTACAGAAGGGGGAAACAAAGCCTGAACCTTCCCAGGTTGGGGGGAAGGCAGAGCCCAAGGGCTGCAGAGCCCAAGGGCTTCAGCCCCAAGCTATGGGGCCTGTAACCTAACCCTGCCACCTAGCCCTTGGGCTTTAGTCCCTTGCAATGGGGATTGGGCTTCAGCTTTGGCTCCGGACTCTAGAAACTTTAAACCAGCACCGGCAACCCCAATGTGTACATGTTTATACTTATGCACTATAGATCGATCTTCTGGCATTGGATTTAGCAGGTCTAGTAAAGACCAGCTACGTCAAATGCTAAGGGCACCCCTAGTTGGCACCAGTATTCTTGATAGTTGAGGACTACGGGGAACTGACGAGCATTTGTTACCATTGGCCTTCCACTGTGAGGACGGCGCCAATCTCACCTTAAGGTACGTTGACTCGAGCTACGTTATTTAAGTAGCTGGAGTTGCGTATCTTAAGCGAGTCTTCCAGGTTTGTATATTTGGCCTCAGAGTCATGACTTGCAACCAGCTTTGCGGTCCCAACCCACAGTTTGAGTTTCACTGTTCTGGTGTTAAGCTGTTGCTCACTGTCTTTCATTTTTGAACTCTGCTATTGCTGTGTCCAACCCATTAAAGAGAGCCGAAGCAGTGGTAGAAAATATGTGAAGAGCTGCACCATAATTCTTGAGCGCAAAAAAAAGGAAGAGCTCCCAACCAGCCAGAGTTATTGAGCAAAACGAAAAGGATGATGCTCCTTTAAAAACTGTGGGTTAGGCTTTTTGTCCACATCAGGCTACCATCAGCCACTGCCATTTTGCCACGTCAGACGGCTCCCCTGCACCTGGTGAGCACAGGGAGCTGGGGGCCATTTGTAGGGGTGCCTGGGGAGGTGGAGGGGGCTTCACGAGCCGTATTTTCAGGGGTGAAGAGCTGCGTGTGTGTCTTTTAGTCTCTTTCCTTGTAATAAGTAGAATAACTTGACCAAACATCTTGCATGAGGCATAATCTATCATCTTTCAGTAACTGTTTTTGTTTGGACTTCAGCTTGATTCATTTTTCTACTGAAAAGCCCAGAGCTAACAGCAGTCTACTTAGTCTTCCAAAGGCTTGGTAAAAAGAAATGATTATATCATGGTTACTATGAGAAACCTCTGGGCCTTAGGAAAATGTAGTAGATAAGTGTACATGTAGGGATTTCAGGGTGTAGTAGAGTACACTATTAACTGATAAGCCCCATGTCCACCCTGGTGCTGCTGCCTCTGATAGAATAAGCTGGCTCCCCCAGCTGCATGGTGCTGCTTGCCCATACTGCTGCCTCTATCCGAGGTGGTGGCCGCAGCAGACGGGTGGCTGCCATGAGGCAGCTTCTGTCTGTGGCAGACCCAGGCTGCTTTGCGGTAGCAGCCCCTGTCCGCAGGGGGTCTGGCTCTGGAACAACCTCTGTCCCATAGGAGCTCGTACCTCCCACAGACGGGCTGTTCTCATCCCGTACTGTTGCTTCTGCATTAGAGGCAGCAGCATGAGGTGGCAGGCACCGGTCCACACAGAGAGCTGGTTTTTAAACTCTCTCTCCTTGTGGACCGGCTCCCCCTGCCATCCCGAGTAGAGCTGGGAGCACCCTGCTTGCCAGCTGTGTCCCTGGGAACTATCAAATGGTTGTGTAACTGACCGTATTTTGTGCGGTCACATGACTATTCAAAAGTTGCTCAAAAATACAAAAAGGACATTGACATTTTTAAAAGAGGAAATAAACTTCCAATTGAAATGCTTTTTTTTAAAGTATTTCCAGAATGTAAGGTTAAATGTACTTTTGTATCAAACAGTTGCTTAGTGGATGCAAGCTTTACTTTGTGTTTAGTTTTTGACAAACCTTCTTTTGATAGGTTTCTCAGGTTGCAGACTACGAAGAGGAGGCATATATAGCATTTGCTATGTTGGATGCAGTTGATGGAAAAACTGAGGATGCTTTGCTAGCACTTGAAGCTATTAAAAATGTTGTTTCATATTGGAATCTTGCACTAGTAGGTGTAATTTATTTTAATTTATGTTCTTAATACAATATGCTTAAAAAAAAATTACCAGCATTCTCCCAGTTACAAACTTCTGCAAATAAGTCTGTTCCCCTTCAGTAGAGCAGCAGGTGGTAATGAGTAGGGATGTAAGAGTTTAAACTGTTAACCAGTTAACTGATAAGCTCATGCTTCTCAGTTCCTGTTAACTGCAGCAGCCCCATGGAGTTTAAACTGTTAACAGTATAATTGATGTATACTTTTTATCCATTATAACAGTTACTATTTTTATACATTTTTTTTTACATGGGCTTGGCAGCAGCTCAGTAAGCCTCATCCTCTGGCCGTCACCCTTTTGCAGGCTCTACTCCTTGTCCCCGTTCACATTGAGCCAGCAGGGGACGTAGGACTCAGAGGAAGCAGGGGCATGGTGGCTGGAAACAAGCAGGATGCTGGCTAGGGAATAGGGTTGGGGATTTCCCAAACAGCTGCTGAGCCTGCTGCTCCTATTTTCCAGGAGTCTGGAACAGTGGGAGGTGCAGGAGGTTGTGCTTGCAGATAAGTGCAGGTCAACATGCAGAGCCAACTGTCCCCTGGCCTCTCCGAGGCCTGAGCCACCAAAGAGATGTCCCAAGTTAACTCCGCTGCCCCAGTCCTGAGTCCCTCCCATATATACTATCTCTCACACAGACTCTGTACCCCGCCCTGAGCCACCTTAGTTCCCACCTAGACCCTGCACCCGCACCTCCTGCTTTGAGCCTCCTCCCACACTCCAAACTCAGGTCCCCCATCCTGGAGCCTACTCTTGCACCCCAAGTGGCCTCAGTCCCACCACAAAGCCCACATTCCCAATCAGAGCCATCACCTGCCTCGACCCATAGCTCCTGCCCATACTCTGAGCCCCTCACTTTTGGCTCCACCCCAGAGTCAAGGCAGTTCCAAACATCGAATAACCCCAGACACCTAGAAAGTTAATCTATATAGAGCACTACAAATTTGTGGATATCTGCTTATATCCACATCCACAGATATGGGTGCGGATATGTTGTTCATTTTTGCAGATGTGGATACAAATCTTGTATTCCTGCAGAGCTCTATTAATCTGGCACTGTGGCCAAAGAATGCCCAGAAGTCCCCTTTAGAATCTCTGCCTACCTCCTCATTTTCCCCTAAACTTGCCTTTCCTTAATCACCAGCCTTCAATGCTAAATAAACTATTAGTCAGTTTTATTGTTTTTCTGTTTATTAATATTGGAACAGTATTGTTTTCTACTATTTTTCATTGCAAATATACGGTATCACAGTTACATTGTGGGTCAACTAGGTTTTTGTAGGCTAGCCTGGCAACCTAAACACCATTTATAACATAGTTGCTATGGGAAAATATGTTCAGCATTCCAAATAACTGATTCTCAAACTCTTGGAACACAACCCATTTGTAAGTTGGGAATTTCCTGTACTTTGTTGGCTAGATTTTCCAGAGAAAGGCTGAAGAGATTGAGAATGATGCAGTCTCACCAGAAGAACAAGAAGAGTGCAAAAGTTATCTGCAAAAGAGTAGAGACTATCTATTAAAGATCATTGATGAAAGTTTTACAGACCCTTCAGTAATTGATAAGGTATGTAATTTGGTTTGCTTTATTATTGATGGATTCATGTATTAAAATATCCTTTTAAAATTTGATAGAACATGAACACTTTCCAAATTCAGTATTTAAGAAGGACCTATACATTTTAAGACCAAACCAGGCAGAGTTCTCTTTTTATTCAGTGTCAACAGGCTTTTTTCTATTTTGAAATATTTCACATACAATTATTAAAAAGCTTTATTTTTAAAAAATGTGAAATCAATACTGTAGTCAAGATTCTGAAAATGAACTACAAGAAAAAGGAAGTTTTATTTTTGAACAAACATTAGGGTAAGGTTACAATGTAAATTAAATATTTGACTTGTTTTAACTCTATACCAATGATTTTACCCTGATGAGTATTGCTTCTAAATCATAGAATACTAGAATTGGAAGGGACCTCAGTCATTAAGTCCAGTCCCCTGCTCTCACGGCAGGACCAAGCACCATCTAGATAATACCTGATCTTAAATATCTCCAGTGACAGAGATTCTACAACCTCCCTAGGCAGTTTGTTCCACTTTTAAACCACCCTGACAAAGGTAGTTTTTCCTAATGTCCATCCTAAACCTGCTT